AGTAGAGACGGGGTTTCACCATGTTGACCAGGCTGGTCTCGATCTCTTGACCTCGTGATCCACCCGCCTCGGCCTCCCAAAGTGCTGGGATTACAGGCGTGAGCCACTGCTTTTCAAAGGACAGGGATAGGACAGCTCCTTGCCCTCTTTTGGATGTTTGGATCTATAACCTCCAGAAATTCAAGCTGAAGTAGTTGGAGGTGGGAGAGGAATGAGGAATGCCTCCCTTTGACAACTGCCTGGGTTGGGTCTGCCAGCCAGAAACTGCCAGGATAGCAGCAAGGAGACATAGAGGAAAGAGCAAACAGTAACCACGTTGGACTCAGGCAGTCATGGGTTTGAATCCTGTCTCTGTCACCACCTAGCCTGATGACATTGGGCACATCCTGAGCATCCTGTACCTTATCTGTAAAATGGAAACAATTATGCCGACTTTTCAGGGTGGCTTTGAGGATTAGAGACTAGCTCCTGACACACAGTAAGTAATCGTAAATGGGTGCTATTATGTGGCCCAACCCCTTGTTATGGGACAGAACGTCTAACGGATGGGTCAGAACCTGCGCCCTCCGGATCTTAGAGGATACATAGGGCTCCCGCGGCCTCCTCCCTCTCGGAGGTGGGGACAAGGTGGAGGAAGGGCTGCAGGAGGAGGAGCTCAAGCATCACGACCCGCCCTGTCCCGTCCAGTCTGGCCTGGGCGCCGCGGGAACGCTGTCCTAGCCGCCGCCACCCGAACAGCCTGTCCTGGTGCCCCGGCTCCCTGCCCCGCGCCCAGTCATGACCCTGCGCCCGTCACTCCTCCCTCTCTATATGCTGCTGCTGCTGCTGCTGCTCAGTGCGGCGGTGTGCCGGACTGAGACTGGGTTCGAAACCGAAAGCCCCGTCCGGACCCTCCAAGTGGAGACGCTGGTGAGGAGATAGTCCGGCCCTCAGCCCCGGTGGGCCGAGCCTTGTTGGGTAATACTGGGGTCTCAACGAACCTGGGAGCCGGGAGGAGAGTAAGTGCGGGAACTGAGTTGGGGGTGGTGCCGGGTCTAGGGGCGAGAACGGGATCTTTGGAAGAGCATCCGTGAACCCTGTAGTCCGATCGTAGGTCAAGCCCCCCGAACCATGTGCGGAGCCCGCTGCTTTTGGAGACACGCTTCACATACACTACACGGTGAGGTGTCTGGGGGGTCGGGGCGGGGCCTGGGAGGGGGCGGCGCCCTGCTGAAACACGTCAGCTTTGGCTTGGACACGTGGCAAGCGTCTCGGGAGGAGAAACTCGGGGCTCTGGGGTCGTCGAGCATGTGGCAAGGGGGAGGCGTTGCACTTCCGTACTTCTTTCCCCTCCTTTTTTTTTTTTTTTTTTTGCCAGTTCCTACCTGGCACTGAGAAGTGCAGGGTGGAGAGATCTCCAAGAAGCGCCAGCCCTCTTATTCCTTACTGCCGCTAAGGGGAACGCTAGGCTGCCCGTCTAAGAGGGCTGCCGCCGCCCAGCGGTCCAGGTGTGTGTTGCGCGCCTGCTAGGAGGGAGAGGTGCTAGGTGTATGCTCTTGATACTCTTTCCCCCCAGGGCAGCTTGGTAGATGGACGTATTATTGACACCTCCCTGACCAGAGACCCTCTGGTTATAGAACTTGGCCAAAAGCAAGTGATTCCAGGTATGTGACCTGTGCCTCCCATTTCACCTCTCTCAACACAAGCCCTTTCTTAGCCTCTTCAGCCTCAAATCTGCCCTGGAAATCCCCCCTGGAATGAGTAAGACCCTAGAGCTCTACCAACCAGTTACCTTCTGAAGTTCAAACCTCACTTCGAATACTCCACTTGTTCCATACCCCGTTGGAAGCTAGGGATTTAAGACGTGGGGGAAAGGTCAATTGAGGATGGAGGAGGAAGACTTTGATCTTTATGTCATGGGATTTGGGGAAGGTGGATAGCTTCCAGTTCAGTTGTGTCTTCTTCCTCAAGGTCTGGAGCAGAGTCTTCTAGACATGTGTGTGGGGTGAGTATTTGTGCAAGGGTGGGCCTGGGTACCCCCTTTGCATGGGTAGAGACTTTCTCTGTCATCCTTGCTCCTTAAGAAGCAGGAGAATGTGGGATAAAGGACCCTGCTTCCCACTAGACAGGTCTAGGTCAGTGGGACCCCTGAGGGCATCCAAAGCCTCTGTGCCTCTTGCACTGTTGCTTTTGTTGGAGGAGTTGAGGTACGTGGGGAGATGAACACCTTTGCTGGCCAGCCTGTTTGGTGTTCAGGTGCAAAAGTTTGTGTTCTGGGTGTGAAGATCCAGGGAGTTTTGCTGGAGGAGCTTCAGCTGGACTGAGGCCACTGGCCCACCCTTCCTGCCTCTGGCTGTGACTGACATTCCTTCCCTCAGAGAGAAGCGAAGGGCAATCATTCCTTCTCACTTGGCCTATGGAAAACGGGGATTTCCACCATCTGTCCCAGGTAATCTGACTAGGCCTCTGTCTCAGGCCATCAAAATACCCAGTCCCTAAGAGCTATAAGGAGCTGCATACTTTGAAGCTTGAGAAGGCCCAGACCAAGTTCGTTTAGACTGATAGGAGTGGCTGGGGCCTTCATCTGCAGGGCCACTTCTTTTCCTCCTCATATCACCAACGGGGTCTAAAGACAACCTGATGAGGCCACCTGGCGTGACCTCCAGCAGCCAGTAACTTGTTAGGGAAGAGCACTGTGCCACATGGGTCTGCTGCATGTGCTACTACCTTTACCAGAACACTGGACTTCTTTCCTGCCCTTTTCCTACAACTCTACGCAGTTCACCTGTGCCGCCACCCCCCTCCTTCCTTTCAGCTTCCATCCGGGAAGAGATGATAGTAAAAATAATCACAGTCAAGTAATTCAAAACAACACAAAAAGCAACTTTTTTCTTTTTTTTTTTAAGACGGGGTTTCACCATGTTGGTCAGGCTAGTCTTAAAACTCCCAACCTCAGGTAATCCGCCCGCTTTGGCCTCCAAAGTGCTTGGATTACAGGCCTGAGCCACCATGCCCGGCCAGCTTTTTTTCTTCCTGGGTTCT